TTTTGTGCGTGTAGGTTGATTTTAATTTGCCTGAGCGGTTTGACATCACGTATGTTGATTCAAACCAAGAGAAGAAGCGACCGATAATGATTCATAGAGCAGTCCTTGGCTCCTTAGAGCGGTTTTTTGGAGTTCTTATAGAGCACTATGCTGGAGATTTTCCGTTATGGCTTTCCCCAATTCAAGCTCGGATTTTACCGGTGACTGACACACAGGTGAGGAAAAAATTCCCCCGTCTTCCACAGAGGTCAAGTGGACTCCATTCGTATGTGCTAGATGAACTTAACGGCGAATCAATTTTATGCAAAATTTGCTAGAAGCTATGTAGAATATACGAAAATTAGGACATGCTTCAAGTAAAAAATGTTGATGCTTGTGTATTATTGTGTAAATACAGCTGGAGTACTGCAAGGAAGTGAGTGAAAGACTGAAAGCTCATGGCATCCGTGCAGAAGTATGCAGCGGCGAGCGACTGCCCAAGCTTATCAGGACCTCGGAAAAACTTAAGATTCCATTAATGGGTGTAGTGGGGCAGAAAGAGATAGAGACTCAAACAGTCACAGTCAGATCGAGGTTTGGTGGTGAATTGGGAACCATGGGAGTTGATGTATTTATTAGCAAAATGAAGGATGCAATTGAAAACAGGAGTTTCTTTTAATCCAGGATTGTCAACATTTGTGACTTCTGTGGTATTGTTACCATCCAAGATACTCAATACAATGGAAAGAAAAGTAGTGATTACATAGGTGTGCCATTGAATTTCAATATTAACTTGATATTGGTCACATTTGAGCAAAAGGCACCAATGCCTTCCCAAAGATTAACTTGATATCGATCACATTTGAGCAATCCCTTTCCTCATGAGCATATCATATACTTTATCAACCTTGTTTGGGTCGACATTGAACAAGCCCTGTGCATCGGATTTTTTGGTTACGTTTCCATTTAAAATTCCCACTGACATAGTTTGCAGCATGTTGAGGTAATGTGTCGGTAGGATTTTCATCTCCCCGCATAGCTCTTTCTCCTGCATTGATTGAGTATATATACAAAAGACTTGCATCACACCATTATATACTATGGAGATGACGAACAACAAAAGCAACAAGAAATCTCACATCTTCAGAGAGTAAATCAGCTCCAAGAAATCCAGTCACGTCCCAATTATCCAAGACACCAAAACTAGTAAGTCCCTTAGAGTCTAATGAAGAGTGCTCCTTTGCTCGACGCGAATTTTCCTCAATTCCCATTTTCATTTTTTGGTCAATAAATCTCTCAGCCTCAGAAGATGTACGGCAACCAGCAGCCCGAGCTTCCTGCACGAGCAATGTTTTACATAATCAGAGACAAAATTGAAACAAGGATGCACACCAATAAATCAGTACAAAAAATCAGTTGAATGAAAACATCGTCCACAAGATTTTCAATAATACAATCTTGAAATTGATATGATGCAACTTATTTAATTTACTATGGATAGTTAAACGAACAGCATATAATGTACCTGAAGGTATTGAATTCTTTTCAAAAGCCGTTGTTCTTCAACAATACTCCTCAGCAATTCACTGTGTTCCTCTTTAGAATGAAACCGCATGAATACCCTGTAGCGACGGCACAGTTCCTTCTCTTCCAAGGTAAGTTCCTTATCAAAAGGGTCAGGATACAATAAATTTCTCTCCAGGATGAAGTCCTTCCTTCTTTTTCTTTCATCAAGCCTGAGATATTGACAGGCCCATATGCGGAACCGAAAAAGAAGAAACAAATGTGACAAAATGTCCAAGTATTTGAGCTAACATGTATGTTACTTCAGGCAATGGCAATTGGAAAAGCTAAAAACATCTAGACAACAATCAAATATCCAAATGCAATGGAAATACTTAATTGAGCAAAATGGAGTTGACAGGTGTCAAAGAAATATGCCCATTTGAACGGAGAGGATATGAAAGCCAATAAAGCAAAACAGCATGACACAGTATCATGTATCATAAGGAACTGGAGAGCTGAAAAATTTCTGGCACGGGTGACAATTCTAAAGCTTCAGGGATTAACAACCACCTAGGATTGAAGGGAATGAAATCCAGGAATACGATGGACAAGGAAACAAAATTCACCGTTTGGAGTATATATGCAAAACTTGTATTTTCAGTTCACGCTCAGCATCAGTATCTGAATCCTTGAATTCCATGTCGGCGAGCAACTGTTCAGCATCATTGTCATATTCAACTTCAAACTCTTGTCTCTTGGAATTGTATCCACTTAGCTCTTTCACAGAAACACCTTCATCCCCTGATGTCCTTGGTTTTTTCTCCCCAATGCTCCTATCTGTGTGAAACTCAGGCCACATGGCAGATGCTGTTTCAGAAATCTATATACAAAATTCTGACTTCTAGAGCACAAATAAAATAATGAAGACCTGTAATTATTTTGCTGTTAACTGTAAGTGTGTGAAATTTCTTATAAACACATATATTTTTAATATATATATATATATATATATATATATTAATATTATGTTACAATTACAATTATTAAAAAATTATATTTAGTTTTTTTATTGGCAGCTAATGTTTTAATAAAACAAAAGGTAAATATTTGTTTGGTAGAACAGTAATTATTTTTTATATTTCATTTATTATTTTGAATAAAAGCAAATACTTCTATTCGATAAAAACACAATTAAGCTTTCGTGGTTAAAAAAGATAAAAACATGATGGTTACCTTTTGACACACGATGGTTACCTTTTGACACAACTAAAGTAAATACTTCTATTTCATTTACACTGCTCAGACACATGTTGGTTACCTTTTGACGGCAATTAAGTAACAATAAATTTATAATCCATCACAAGCATTCAATCCGATAAAAGCATCCAATCCACCAATCAAAAGCGCTGCAGTGTGAGTGCCTTCATTTTCAGCTTTGGCCCAATTTGATGATATAAAAATCTCCAAACTTCCTTTTTTGGTTTTCTATTTTGAGTTTTGAGTCGATTAAAACGGCTAAAATAGCGTTTGGGGCCTAAATGCTGGAAACAAAACATAGCCGTAGTCTTAAGGACAGCATGCAATCTACTCTTTTTACAGAAATGAATCAGTGGGGATGCAAAATCTATAAGCAATAACGACAGTAAATATGCTACTCGTAAGAATTCACACCTTCAACTTTCACGACATCAGGACCATCAGTGCTTGGGGCTTTGCTGGATGTCCTCTTAACAGCTCCAGATGATATTTTACTTGAGCTGGAACCTCCAACAGTGTCTACCTCTGAGAGGGAGAATATATCAGAAAGTGCAAATTAATTTCTTTATGTCTGTCTGAATTTATTATTTCAACAGACTGCCAACAAGGACTGTACTGTACCAGAAGAGATGCTTGAGGACGAAAGTCCTGCTTGACCTTCATGTCTTTGATCTTCCATCCTGACCACAATACCATAAAAAATTAGCGATCAAACCAGCAAGGCCCAGGGATGCACAGAAAAACTGTCCAGGCATATACTTGATTTCCGCGGGAACAGCTGGATCTTCATTCCCACCAACTTCTCCAGATGTGGTACCTTCTGAAGAATTTAGGATTATATAAATGGAAGCAGTTAGAAATAACCAGCATTACATTAAGAAATAACAGGCAGTAAGAAATTAGCTCTGAGTTAAATGCCAAGAAATAACGCCATGGGTTTCATGTTAACCAAGTAAAGGAAAAAGACGACAACATTAACGGACATAAAAGTACTATGCTTACCTGATATTAATTTTTTTTTTTCAATGCAGTTTAAAGATGTGAGATGAAAAAATGTCATAAACTAGAAATGCTAGATATAATGAAATGTACAAAATAACTAGCTAGGCATACATTTCACCATTTACAAGTTTGCTACCAGACAGAAGGACAGAATAAGTTACATGAAAACACAAGGGGCACTGATATATCTTGTCAAATACCTTTCTTGGTTTCACTATGTTCTTTGGCCATAGCAAGAAGTTCCTCTCTGTTCTTTCCCATCACATGAGACATGTCCTGAGAAACCAAAAATTCTTTAGGTAAGATTATGCTTCCAAATTGAAGGTCATTGAAATTTAGATAAGGGTGGATCAAACGATATGTCGTACCGGAAGAGGAAAGCACCGAGAATTCATATATATTTTATCATAATGGTCAATACATTGTGATTTATTTTTCGTTCCGACATGTTCTGCTACTTCGTTCCAGTTACCTAGTCCATACATTTCAAGACCCTGAAAAACATTAACCTTTCAGAATATAGAAACCAAAATAGTTCATGATATGCTAGTAAGCAAAACACACCAGGTTTCCATGTCTTCATAATTGGTCATCAAGAACAGACTTTTTTTTTTGTAATTTAAGTTTGATAGGACAAACCGATATAATAGAATACTTGAATAGAACTACAAAAGACAAAACTTTCCAAAGCAATGAAATTTCAAAACTACCTCCAGAAGCAACATCTCCTCATCAGCATTCCAGTCAGGACATATAAGAGGAAATGCCAGGTTGTCCTGTTGAAAAACAGGAGATCAGGAAAAGAAGTGAAAAGGCTGCTTTTTCAAAGAGGCACCTGAACATGGCTTTTGAAAGGGTGGAAAAAAATGACAAAGCAAATTGGGAGAGAATATAGTACATGTTTTGCACACCGACAACTGACAAATTTCATGTCAGTCTAAGACTGTCAAGATAATAAATCATTCATGTCTCAAGCAATAAGATCGCAGGGTTAGACATTAGTGGTCCAAGGGAAATACTAAAACCAAAGGGCAAAAAAGGTTACAATAAAAAGGGCAAAAACTTTGTGCATTCTTGGCAGGATTTTTGTGTTGGCCACACATTCTCAGCTAGCAATGTTCATAAGAATCTTTACTTTCTTAATTTAGAGAAGACCATCCAATTAGTATCTACAAACCTAAACTTAATAATTTAAATACCATTTTAACATTTCACCAAAATCTGAAGTTCCTACTGTAACTTCCAAAAGATCATTTATGATTTTGTGCAAGATACACACGAAACATTCTGGGAGACATTTTCAAACATGAAATGAAAAGTGCTACATGTGGGCACAGTCTAGTTGATATAACCATTATTAAGGTGAGAACATAAATAGTAACTTCTTGGTGACACAAAACATCGAGAAATTCAACTTACCATGACTCTGTAAGGATGATTGCTTTTGTGGGGTCGGAGCTCGGTTCCAACAGAAAAGCATTCCACACAGAGATCAAAATCAGAACATATTACACACTTGATCCGGATCTTTCCCGATATGTCTTTGTTGCAATAGTTACAATGATATAATGCCTTCTTCCCATCAGTTATTCCCGGAACCTCTTCAAATACGAAATCAACAAATTTTAAGAATATGGGGATCTGATTTTATTAAACAAAATTTTAATCTTGCATAGATATGCATACCAGGAGGTGCACTCTCATTATTCTCTACGTTCTGAGTTGATTTTTTTCTCTTTGACCGACTGAAAAGAAAAAAAAAAAAAAAAACATTTTAAACAATGAATACAAATAAATGTATCCTCAACAATGAATACAAATTGAAACACAGGTACTTTTAGGGTAAAATGTTTCTTCAATTTGGGTGCTTTACATATGATTGATTGCATTTAAAACTGCT